CAAAATTCGTACACCATGATGCACGAAATACAACAATACACACAAATGTAATAATCGTCATTAATTCCCCTTCAAACCACATACATCGCCAATATGGCCACCACCTCGACATAATGAACATGATATATAATTATGACTCACCAATACATAATCATACAAGTATTCTGCAATAATTTACTCATATCTCAATAGAGAAAATTTAAACAATACATAAAACATAACAACTTTACTCGTCAAACTCAACAAAACAACGACAAACAGTCACTGAAATCAGAAACAACTTGAAAAATTGAACCGACGACCCAAAACTAGTCAACTGTAATGCTGACGGCCAACTCACCTGTCATGAAGGTCGTCACGACAACCTATCACCTTTCCCCTATGCAAACCAGTCACCCTATGATGCTCGGGGAAAGAAGCCCATCTGAAGACCATGACAGTCTCTCCGTCATCACGATGACGCCCGTCAGCTTTCCCATTTGCAGTGATGGATTGTCTGTCACCCTGGTGACGCCCGTCACCATTGTGGAGATGGTGTTGAGAATGTAGCAAGTGTGATTAGTATGGGTAATAGTCTCAAATTGGTTGGAAATATGGAGACTTGAGCATTTATAAGTGAAGAATCCACCCACCTATCACCTTAAGATTTTGGGTGAATATGTGGTGTGTCCCTCACAAAGGCGTTGCTCTAAAGAAGAAGAAGCTCCACAATATTCAATGTTTCCTAGTGAAAAACTCCCCCGACACATGGTATCAGAGCCTTTGGTTCGAGGAATGGAACAACTTACTTATATCGAAAGTCAAACGGCGCCACAAGGGTGGTGAGTAAGAAACGTTCTGTTGAAGAGTGTCAACGGCGTCACAAGAGTGGTGAGTAAGAGATGTTTCGTGCGGTACAAGAATTTGTGGAAGTAAGAGGGGGAGAATTGTGGACTCACACTTGAGAGGGAGTGTTAAGAATGTAGCAAGTGTGAGTAGTATGGATAATAGTCCCACATTGGTTTGAAATGTGAAGACTTAAGCATTTATAAGTGAGATAACCCACTCACCTACGACCTTAAGGTTTTTGGTGAATATATGGTGTGCCTCTCATAAAGGTGTTACTCTAAAGAAGAAGAAGTTCCACATTGTTCAATGCTCCCTAGTGAGAAACTCCCCTAACACACCAACCTTTTTAGTTGCTTTGGTATGAGGACTTTCTCTGATTCGACCAGCCTCCTTCTTGCTGATTTCAACCAGTCAAATTATTGTAGCCTCCTCTACCTTTCCAACTTTCTTTGCCCTTATTTTCCTTTGTTGTTGCGCATGTAGAGCCACATCACTCTTCTTGTCTACAGCTCTTTCAATCATCATTTGTTCATGAGATTCAAGTGTCCCTTGAAGTTCTTCCTTTGTCAAACTTGACAAATATTTTGACTCTTCTATGGTCATTACCACGTGGTCGAACTTTGGAGCCAATGACCTCAAGATCTTTGCAACAATTGATCTTGATGTCAACACTTCTCCACATACCTTGATTTGATTCACCAGTTTTGTAACCTTAATGAAAAAAATCTATAATGTTTTCATTGTCTTCCATCTGAAGCAATTCATAAGTTCTTTTGTGAGTTTGTAACCTCACATCTTTCACCTTCTCAGCACCTCCAAATGATTTCTACAAGATCTTTCATGCTTCTTTCGCTAATTCTACATTGCTGACCTGTTTGAAATTGTCTAGATCAACACATTGATGAATTATAAAGAGAGCTTTATAATCTTTCTTCTTCGATTCTTTATATGCAACTTTTTCTTGATCTGGCATGTTTTCTGTTGGTGTTACTTCTTCCTTCACAAGATCCCAAAGATCTTGATAACAGAAAGCCACCTTCGTCTGTTTGCACGAATTTTTATAATTCTGACCCTTCAGAATTTGGAGACTTGCTGGAAAATGGTCGTTCAGATGATTCATCGGCATGGTGTTTTGCTTCTCACAAATTGTTCAGTCAGTACTCTAGATACCATATGTTGGAATTAAACCCAAAACTTTAAGTAATTCTGAATCAAACTTAATGAACAAGATTCAATCACACTGATCGAATTCTCTCTCTTGTTCTTCACTTTTCACTCGAGGGAATCAACCAACCTTGGTAGCAATATTGTATCGCTACACAATGGTGATGAAAACAAGAAAAGAATATTTGAATTAGGGAAGAAGAAGAATTTCTGCAGAGTAACTCTCTACTCTCAAAACTGCAATTTTATTCAAGTGAATCACACTACAATAATAAAGTTACTCCCTATTTGTAGATTTGGTTTGCTTGCTCCCTAAGCAAAGCTCAAAAACAAAAAGTCCAAAATACATAATTCTGCTAGCACTACAAAATTAGGTTTAAGACAAAATCCATGTCAAGGCTAACTATTCAACACTTCGACGACTAGGTGTTTCGGCACATGCACTAGACTATTCGACAACTTCCTTGTCTCTGTTGAGCAACCTGCTTCGACACAAGAAATTACAATTCAACAAAAGGCAGAACTGTATTTTCCGCCATGAGAGCATTTCCAAAGCTCCGGTTTTAACCCTCAACCACTCAAACCAAACAGAAAAATATTATACATATTTATTCCATGTTTAATACATCATTTGCACACAAATTCACCATTTATTCTACAGATTTTCACCAAATCAATTCACATGTTCATCATATTAAAGCATAGCAACATGAACCTCAACATCCAGATTTTCACATACAAATTTACATGAATTTCAGCAATAAATCAATACACAAATTACCATCAATCACATAAATTAGAAGAAAGGTTGTGCATAAACCTTCTCCACATCCATAAATTCATCAATGGAGAGAAATACAAATATGACAAGGAAGAGGGTGGGGATATCTCACCGTCCCTTATGAAATATACACTCAATAGTGAATAATTTGCACCCACCCCCTATCTGAATTTTGCAGCAATAAGATTGAATTTTCAACAATAGTAATTCTTCCTTCTAGGTTTTTTTTCTTGCCTCTACAACTCCTCTTTTCTCAAGTTTCACGTACTGCATAAATCTATTTTTCGCCTTCTTTTTTTTTTAAATAAAAATCTAATTTAATCTTTTATTATTTATAATTCTCCCCCTCCACTATTGGTCCATCTCTCTTTGTCCCACCGCTTGTTTTATTATTCTATTTCCCCCATAACTCATTATTTCATTATTTTATCATATTTCTTATTATTTTAATTAAACCAAAAATAATAATAAATAATATAAATTTTATCCCACCTCAAATAATCTCACAAAACACATATAGCACTCTAGTAAATAATTTAAGTATATAAGACTTGATAAAATAAATTAATTTAAAAACTGGGGTGTTACGTTTTTTAGAGTGATTTGGAAAGAAATGAGCAATCCATATATAATATTAAAAACTAACCGAGACATGGAAACTAAACAATGTAGAATTTTGATTTTTTTTTCTTCCATTTCACGCACAAAAACACAGTATTCCAACATCCCCCTCTAGAATTTAAAAAATGATTTGAAATTTTCTTTAAAATTGTACATAAGTAAAAGTGTCTTACAACTTAAACTTAAAATTTAGATTTTATTAGAGTATCTTGTAGGCTTGAACTATATCTTTAACATCAAAACATAAGTAAAGGTGTCTTACAACTTAAACTTTTATGTAGTATATAAGATTTAGATTTTATTACAATATCTTGTAGTCTTGAATTATATCTCTAAAACATACATGACCTTTGTAAGTTATCAATCTTTGTCTTTGTGTAATCTATAAATATTTATAGCCTTTGTAAATCCATAAACTAATTATAAATCACTAGGATAATATACAACATCAATCATTTCATTTATAACTTGTTCTCTAATAAAATAAAATATATAGTTTCAATATGCTGACTTTTACCCTGTGAGACAGGATTCTTGGCAAGGTTAATAGATGATCTATTGGCCATCATCAGTTTTAATGGTTTGTTTATTTCACACTTCAATTCCTTTAGAAAAGAATCCAACCATATATAATGACAAATTGCAAGGTTCCTACAATATATTCAGATTTCTAAGAGACACTGTTGGCATTGGCTACTTCTTGAGACTCAGTTTTCGTTACTTTCTCAACAATTTGTTGATTTGTTATGGCTTTACTACAATGCCTTCATTTGAAGAGAAGTTACTATTTCCAGTCATGATTGCTTGCAAGAATTTCCATTAGATTACTCACATTCACTTGTGTTTCCTAGAACTTGAACCTCACAAACTCTTGTGTTACTCCGATTTCAAATCTGGCTCTCAATGCCCCAATTGTTAGCGCAACAGACGCAATATTGCAGAGAAAGGAATGAAAAATGCTGATAAATAACAGTAAAAAAAATGCAGCATGTATTGACTGGTGTAATGTGTTCTCATTTAATAAGTGAATGTAACATTTCGACCTTTATGGCTAGTACCTTGTCAGATAAGTAACCAACTTAACTATCTAACTAACATCTCCTAACCAAGTAACAGTAATTAACAAACTAAATGAGTTATGGATTAAACTTAACAAGCCTAAGCATAATTATCAAACTAAAGAAGCCTAGTACTATGTTAGCAGAGCATTTCAAATGCAATTTGAGATAAGACAAGTTGCTACTTAAAGAAGTAAAAATCAATGGCATGAAACCATGGTGCGCAGGATGCATTGTTCCCCGGTGAGTGTCACCAGATTTTAGGCAAAAACAAAAAGATTTTAAGTTGGATACCAGAGCATAGTATATACCCTAAAAATTCTATCATAAAATTTCATATAGTGTATTTTACAATTTACAACAACTTGCCAATCAAATATTACATAGATTATTGTTGTTCAACACTCGCTTGATTACCCTGCATTTCACCTTGAAAGAATGACTAACTATATATTTTTACAATACCTTTCTTTTTTGCTTCTCTTTCTATAATATAGAGTTTGTTTTTTCAAAAAAGAAATACATATTTTTACAATACAAAGCAAACTTCAACGGTCTTTTGGCAATAATGGCTCTGATTGAGAATCTCTGATCGGGGCAAGTGGAGGCCTTCCATTACCAGACTCTAAGTCGGTAGTTGCACGGCTCTCTTTCTGTTTAAACAATTGTGAGAAAATGCTTGGTTTGTCTTCTGATGACGAAGACCGTGATGATTGTGAACTTTCATATCCTGGTTTCAAGCTTTGAACATGCTGCAAGCAAACTTGAACCGCATCGTGTACTCTCACGAAGTACCATTCTTTGCCTATCAACTCCACCAAACCGGATTTAGACAAAGTAAGCAGAATATCTGGGTTTGGATTGGATATTGCAATCTGCAAAGTGAAGAAAAAAATTACGGATGTTGGTGGGTAATAAAGGACTTTTCTGATGATTTCATGAATTAAACCGTCGTAAAAAAAAAAGTCCAAAATCTCACTATACCTGAATGTCCCGTAATTTGTACTCTTGATACAAGTCTTTCAAAGCCTGAACAGCACTAGAGTCTACGTAGGTCACAGCTGCATCCATCATAACCACATCATAAAACAAAATAGAGTCAATTTTCCATCATCATCTTTAATAATTGAGTTTATAAGAAAATATAGTATAAGAAACAATTAAGAACTTCAATACAATGTTCATGTGATTCATGAGATCAAGGGAGCTAACAATTAATTATGTAACACAACTTCATATGCATAGGATCCATAGAAAACAGAATTAAGAGTAATTACTTTATTAATCAACTAGTAAACTACACAGGTTAAGCAGCACTTACGCGCCATCTCTAGAATCACAAAACTGATTCTTTCTACCTCGGGTCCACGTCTTGTAGAGCTGTCAACAACAACTTCATATTCCCGCAACCTGATATAGAACTCTAAATCAATTAAACAATAATCTTGATCGGAAATATGTCGATTACAAGTTACAACTCATCTATTTATTGTTACCTGTCCTTTAGGTAACTGATATTTGCAAAATAAATAGGAGCATCAATACGAACAATTACAATTCCATTGTATGTATATGCTTCAGGATACTGTTTAACATTTCTATAAACCGTTGTCCCGGGCAAACGACCCAAAACAGCTGCAGCACACCACAAACAATAATATTAAGAAACCAACATACTTTACACCAAATGTATCTGTCTATCTATCTTCATGCACTTGAACAAACATATCTATACACTAGCACACTATATCCTTAAATCCATGAGAAATCCGGTCCATAAAAATAGAGAAATATTATTGATAAACTTTCTTTTATTTAACATAAGATTGAATTATTCATATATGCTTGATGGTTTCAAAAAACAAAATTTTGTACTTTGAAATACATCCCTTATGACATCTGACTAAAGTATGAGCCAATAAATTAACGTAACATGTGATGCAATTTACATCACCAAATCTGAGTACCTTAACCCATTAACCCAATGGATTAGTACATTGCAACCTAAACCAAATCCTACGTAGTATCACATTTTCTAGCTATTTTTTCTGTACTGATCTGTTAGCAACAAAGTATACGTTTACGGTGAATCTGTTATAGGTTTTGATTGCAGCCTTTTTAATAAAGATTCTAGAGTTGTTTCTTTCAGGACTAGTGATAGTTTGGTATACTTTCCTTGAACCATAAAGGTCCTACACTTTTATTGCTTTAGGGTACACCTAATAATAATAGGTTCTATTAAATGAAGTTTTCTGGTCTTCAGAAAAGTGATCTTTTCAAAGCATGTGAAATGTGAATATACTCTCTTATATATTGAATATCTTGATAAATTTATGTTAGCTTATCACTCCAGATAGGTTTTCATTTTTTTTAATTAACATTTATATGAATGATTACATGATTGTTTTTTTTATATATTTAGGTCGAAAAGGTAGTGGTTAGTAAGGTGATTCAAGTCCATACATAGATATAAAATTGGAATTAACAACAGCATACATAATTTCTAAGCACGAACAAATAAACTTACCAATGTGAGGATTTGCTGACTCATGAATGACAAAAGCAAGTGACGCTCCAACCTACAATTTCAAAACCCTTATGAGAGTCATGTGACAATTAGTTATTAACATAACAAAGTTCCCGTTGTACTCACCCCAACAAGTACGCCAATCTCAATGCCAAGGAACAATGTCATAGTGCTAGTAATGGTCCAAAGAAGAAAATCTTTTTTATCTACACGCCACAAAAAAATGGCTTCATCATAATCTACCTGAAAATATTATTTTGAACAGTCCAAATAAATGCTTAGATGTTGTAAAACTGATAACCAGCAAACGTGCTATATATATTACTCGGCACAAAGAGCAATGCTTAGACAACAAATATTCTATACAAGCTATATATATTACACACACTCATCAGTGTTTGGCATGAAATTAATCACTCGGCACAAAGAGCAATGCTTACCAGACCAATCACAGCAGAGATCACGATGGCAGCAAGAGCAGACTGGATTATTGCATTGCAAACATAAAATTTAAAATTAGTGTGTAAAAAAGTAGGAATAAAGTAATGCTAGAATTTAATGAAAAGGAATTGGGAAACAGCTCAATAATTTTGCTAGCCTTAATGTATGTCCTATTGAATGTCATTAGGTAAAAAAATCAAACTACTCCTCATTAGATGTGTAGGGTCATATTAAAGATGATTCTCTAAAAGATTTTGGGCATCAATTAGGTTCTTAAATTAATGGATGCCTTAGCACAAAGTTTAGAGCTGTTTTCATGTGACCGGAGGTCACAGGTTTGAGCCATGGAATTAGGATTTGGAAAATACAATGTAAGGCTGTCTACAAAAGATCCAAAATAACTCTGGCCCTTCCCTGGAGCCCATTATGACAGAAGCTCCATACAACCAACCAGCCACCAGGTTGCCCATTCTTTCAACTTAGTAGCTACCTTTCAATGATCAATATTGATCAATATTGGAAGAAATAGATAAAAGCGGTTGTGTTTTTATTCCTCAGCCAAAGGCTGGTTTATATAATGAGAATACAATTAATACACTTAATTCTCTCTTTAATGGAAAATAAAAGAAAATAAATGAAAATAAACTGAAACAATTAAATAGGGAAATAAATTATTTTCCAACAATCAATTTGAACATTTGCTTAACATTTCAATCTACTTTAGTGGATTAAATCCCAGCAGATGTCAGCTGTATAATGTAATAGGTATAAGCAGAACTTCAATTTAAAAAAAAATTTAGTCCGAGTCGGATAACATCGGGAAGAAACATTTTCAAACATGACATAAATGACCTATAAAAACTTGAAGCAAACCTGAGGTATGCTCTCAAATAGTGGCGTTAGAAACAAAAGTGTACATGTAATTATGATCCCCGAAACTATTCCAGATACTCCAGATTTTGCACCACTTTCATGATTAACAGCTGATCTTGAAAAGGATCCTGCATAACTCATTTAAAAGGGGAAGAAATCAATTCAAGATTTGTATTCATCTCAGGTAAAACATAATATCGAAATATGATGATGCTTTGGTACCAAAAGCCAAGTAGCCAACTACAAAATATTGACGACCTACTGTAAGTTTCAAAGTCAAATAGAAGTCTAACCTGTGGTGGGGTATGCTGAAAAGAATGAACCAAGAACATTGGAAACACCAAGACCGAACAACTGTTCAAAATCATTCAGAAGAATAGTTACAGAGAATTATTTTTATCAACAAAACAGAAACCTGTCTTATTTCCTATAACTAACTACAAGAATACAAAAGCCACTTTCTAGAAAAGCAAACTAACTACCAATTAGATTCTTGAATATACCAAGGCAAATTATAGCGGCCAGACAAAAATCTGCTACACCTACATCTATATGCCGATTCAGCCTATGGCGGCTTGGCACTTTATCTGCCATTTCGGGGAAGAAATTCGACAATACTGCTAGGGAGGTACCCCTTACATTATCCACTAGTATTGCTCAAATTTTTAGGATGCATAACTTGAACGGATATGCTTATGTAAGTAAAACAGAAACAATCAGGGAGTTGTACATGTAAATATATTTTGGAAAGAAATATACCTCTTGATTTGAATCCAGCTCATACCCATTCTTTGCAGCTAATGCCTTTGCAATTCCTACAGATTCCTGTATTTTGAAAACTTAGTGAATTTGAGAACAAAGTTACCAATCTATTACTTCAATTAAACTAAAAGGAAAATTAATTAGGATAAAACAGAGATCTTACCAGTATAGCCACACCAGTTATAAGAAAAGCAGTTGGAATTAAGGACTCTGCATACTCAAAAGCTCTCGGAACAGAAAATTTGGGGAGGCCCTGCGGTATCTCTCCCACCTAATTAAAAAACAAAAAACTTTATCAAGTTAATTTAATTGCTATCAGCTTCATTAAAATGTTAGTGAATCGCTGTCCCAAATTAGTCATAGTAATCATTCACAAAAGAACATCCATGCCAACAAAGACTGAATGACCATACCAGACAACAAAGCCCTGATTTCTCAGTTAGGACAGTCAATTCAGGGAGGTGATTAGAGAAAATGAATGGGCCACAAAACAACAAACTTTTTGGAGCACGCAATGGCAGTAGAGTCAAATGAATTTATAAATAGGGTTTGTCATTTAATTAAAACAGTAGCTTTTATAATATATTGACGGATTAAATGAATATTGGCTTCTTCGAGAAACCACACGTAAGCTCTAAAAAATAAAAATTCAATTGAAAAGAAAATGTACAAAACAAAATTTGATACTGATTTTACTGGTTCAGTGCATGAAACTATAATCACATCTGGGAGATAGTTTCATGATTTCTATATGCAATATCATTATGGCTCCAAAGTCATTTTCAATGTCACTGTCAACTGAATACAAGCCAAAAGAAAACTACAAGCATTCATAATTTTTTAAAAGTATTAGTTCAATTAGGTTTAATTTGGAACTAACTCCGCAAAATAGGAACTTGTATATTTATGTTTTTGAATCTGAATACAATACATTATCCAATATCCAATTCTTTAAACAAAATGCAAACTAACATGAACAATATGTATTTGGATTAAAGTCATAACCAAGAGTAGCTAATTAAGTCAGTAGGATCAACTACGTCAGTTATTACTGTTTTTCCAAGAAGAAAATTATCAGAAATTTTAGAATATAATTTTTAGCAATTTTACGCACAGCAGTTATAGAGGGGTATAAGAACATAAGGTTTTAATTTTATTATCTAATTTTTAAATCTAGTTCTGTAGCTTCACCAAGATCCATTTGGTTCTTACCAAAGAAATTGATGGTGGGTGAAATATTTTTACAAAAACCGTTCCCAGAACCACTGCTGTAAGAGGACCTGCAGCCCTCAAGAATCGCAAGTATTTCCTCGATTTTCCCTGGATATATCACATCATACAATGAGCAGGATATTCATAAGTAATATAAGTATTTCACCAAACATCAGAGATAGACTGATAGATTTATACCAGGTGTTTCATGACAAGAAGTATTGCCAGCATAACTGATCCCATTACAAAAGGGGGCCATGAAAACTACAAAAGGAAAAACATCAGAAAAAAGAAAAGACATAGACAACTGAACATATACAATGATTAAAAGCATTAAGTAAAAGATCATTGCAGGCTGAACATCAAAATATGAATCTTGATTCAAAACAATGTGTGACGAATTTTAGAGGGAGCTTTGACTTGTTAAATTGAAATATACTTATGATCATGCAGTGTTGTAAAGTACATTAAAAATAATAAATTCCTAAATGTCTACTAGAAAGGGATAACTGGCATCTGAAGAACTGCTCAAAGCTACAATTTTAGCTATAAATACCAGTTCATTTAACTACTCAGTATAATGTGCAAATTCAAGGTTAAGAATAGTGAATTCCCTATATTTTAACCTTGTACCCTATTCTATGTATCTAAAATCCTGTCTTATCGAATGGAAAAATTGTCCATCCACTAAATTAATGAAATAAATATTAAAAAACACAACAAATCCATTTCCATCAATAGTCCACCCTACAAAACCTAACTTTGTATTTCATCAAACTTTATCCTAATTTCTTTAGTATCCTAAATAATTTAGTAACGTCTATAGGTATTCTAGAACTACAAGCATAAGTTTTCTTAACCAAAAAATGTGGTAGATAATCACACCTAGTGGAAGAAACTTTAATGGAAATTCATTTTCAAAATCTTTTGCATACCTTATCAGCTCCAGCTATTATACTTTTAACCAACGGTATAATCTTGCTACTTCTGGTTATATCATACCCCAAAAAGTACTTTGCTTGAGATAAACCAATCACGATAGCTGAAGCACTTGTAAAGCCAGATATTACAGAATGGCTAATGAAACGGATCAGCCACCCAAGCCTGTAAATGCCAAAGACAGGTATTATAGGTTATCCATAAAATCACTTTCATGAGAAAAGTCAGGCTTGATGCTGAGAAGTAAGTTGTCAAAACAATGTAACTGATAAAAAAGTTCAACCCCTCCTCTTGGCATTAAAATAAAGTAGTATGCTTGCAATTTAAGCCATTATAATTATAATGACTATACTACATCAATGTTTATTGGCAATGGCATATCAAAATAATCATTTGATCATTTGTACATGTTTAGATGCATGATCATTGAGGAAAAAGTACAATTCAATTTTTAGTTATTGTAGAAGATGTCCTAGGAGATAAAGCCCAAAGAAGAAAACTCTGTTTTTGCAGCCCTATATAAAAATAATAATAAAAAAAATACCTCAATAGTCCCATTACGCACTCCAGTATCCCAACCATTAGGGCCAATAAAATTGCCAACTCTGTGTATAATTCACTGGACGTATCAGCTACGCTACCAAGAACATTAGAGACCAATAGAGAAACCAATGCTACCGGGCCGACTGCAAGCTGGCGAGAAGACCCAAATATGGCGTACATAAATATGGGCACAAAACCAGAGTCTTCCTTGCAAAGAGAAAAATATTAATTACCAGATATTACTTCGAATTTCTTGATACATAAAGATTAATGACACAGAATTCAACAGCATGAAGTGTTATAAAAACAATAAGAAACTGACAGACAAATAATGAGAGCAAAAAGCTAGAATTTCATTGACATCAAAATGGCATAAGCAATACTGTTATTTAGATCAATGAGAGATGAGATTCATAAACATAAAACTCCAAGACATGCCAATTTAGCTGGTTTGGCAAATACTATTTGGTAAGATGCAAATTTAAAAATGACAAGAACCAAGAAAGACTTTCCTTTGATCTAGCACATAAACTAAATCACTAACCCCTGAAGAAATTTTACACAACATACTTCACTCTTCACAATTTTCAGGACAACCGTTTGTAAATTTGCTTGTATCACAAAAATTAGTAGAAAATTAGGAAAATTAAAACCTATCCTGTGAATTTAATTCATATATATATAGATCATTGGAATAAATAATTTGTAGATCAAGAATCAATCATAATATGCAAATCAACGTTTGACTTTAATCGTATCTACTTCTAAAGTCACAAATATTTGATTGTGATTTGCTGAAAGCATATCAAAACTAAACTCGTGTATTTAATTCATATGCATAGTCCATGTAAAAAATTTTGAGCACCGTCATCGTGTGTAACAGCATCATTAAAAACATTAAAATTTAATCATATCTACTTCTAAAAGTGTTTTGAAAAGCAACACAACTATAATACTCTATCCAGGTATCGTTACAAGCAAAAACTCATTTTTAAGATTCAACGAATAATCAATGTATCTGCTATCCATAGACCAGGTGTAGCAATGATTAAAATTAGTTTTTAGATTTAATGAATAATCGATGTTGTATCAGTGATTAAAATTATTTTTTAGATTCAATGAATGATCGATGTATCTGGTCTATATATAGACCAGGTACATCAGTGATTGGATGAACCTGAAAACAATGAATTTTAGCTTATAATGGTGAGTGGAAGGAGTTGGTGCCTAATCTGAAAACTTCATCAAAAGCTTAGTAGTTAAGCAATCTTACAGAGTCCATATATTGGTTGAAGTCCAGCCAATTTTGCATATGACATCGACTGAATGAACAAAAATAACTTGATTAGCACAAGATTAAACTAAATAAACTTGAAACGGAAATGGGAACAGTTTCTAACATTTTCTAAGCAACTAACGGAGCAAAACCACTACCTGAGGAACGAGCATAACTCCGACAGTGATACCGGCCATAAGATCCAACTGAAAATACTCGCGCCATTTGTAGATGCGAATCCACCGGTAACAAGGGAGAAAAAACTCGAGCCATTCGAGCGCCGTCATTCGCCGGAGCTTCGAAGCCCACTGTGAGAGCGCGACATTCGGAGGCAACGAAGAGGACGACGCAACGTTCGGGTGTTGCATAGGAATAACTCTGATAGGACGAGATGAACCGGAGGCGGACGGCATGGCGGCGGAGGGAAGGTCGGAGTAACTGTGCGATGCGAAGGTTATCTCCATGCGCACCGCCGGCGCATTGGTTTGATCAGAGCGAGCGCGTGGTGGTTGGAAAAAATCTAAAGTGAATGCGATGGTGGAGATTTGAGGAGGAACGGGGTTGAAAGATATAACAGAATGTGGACCCGTGAAAATAAAAGTTATATATTCTGTGGAATAAAAACAAAATCCTCAAAGAAAAATAAGAATTTTTTTTTTCTTTATTACAGTTGTAAAGAAAGAAGAAACGTGTGGAAACCGAGTTTTCATTTTTTTAATTTTAGTTTTCTTTGTTTAATATTTGATTGATATTGAAACTGCTAATGCCACGTAAGCAAGCGTGCACTGAAATTAAACTAACCCACCAAATTTGTTGTACTAAAAAACAAAACACTCTTGCCAACCGGTCAATAGTAGCTCATCAAAAATAAGATTATTAAAACTCAATGAATATAAAAGTATGCAAATACAAAAGTATATTCACAAATACTAACTCTTAAAAATATAAAAATGTAAATTTAAAGTTTTTGATGTATTTAGTATGAAATTCGTACTAGATACGTTAATTTTTATAAATGTTATCATGATAAGTATGTTAAAATCATTTTGTCTAATAATATTATAAGAGAAAATAAAAAAATATTATTAAAATAAATTGTACATAATCATTTTACAGACTAAAAAAATTATTGTTCGGTTTAGTAGAGGTAAAAGTTGGCTGATAAACTAATTAATAATTTATAGTCTATTATGGTTGATGGTTGTTGAAAATAACTTTTATATATTTAGATTATATTAGGTAGATTTCTTTTTGAACTTATAAAATTATAGTTTATAAGCTCATATGATAATAAGATTTAGTTTGTGAGTCTTTTTTCTAACAATTATTATTGAATTTTTTTTGTAGATCTAGTTACACATAAATGATATATATTAATTACGTAAAATTTTGTTAAATTTCTATGATATTGATCAACTACGAAATAATGTGAATGTTATATCGTTATCCGGAAGCAGCGTGTTGTATGGATTTAGTACAGTGTCAAAAGAGCAAGGGTTGTTGCATCGTTGCCTGGATGCAATGAAAAATAAGTAAGGATTCACATATTTTCGTGAATGGGTGCGGGTAAAAAGTTAGTTCATACGAGTATGATTCTTTTTGGATTATGGAATACAGGCATGCTTATTGGAAAATCTATGAAAATGGTGGATATTATGTGATCTGACCTGATCAGGATGAATCACGGACTGGCCACACACCGTTGGGCTATTATCTGTTCGCCGGGGTGAGAACGAGGAGGGGGGTGTACCTGCAAAGCACTCTGACGCCCAAGTAAGAAGTTGGACAGAGAGGAAGCAATAGTACAGAAAAGGGGGGCAAGAAGAGTTACCTGACCCTCTTGAAGAAGAGGGTATTTATAGAGAGACCCCAGCGCTGGGCCAACGGTCATTCGAGGTGGGCCAGACGACCAGGCCCAACCCTAATGACTACTAGGGCTTACGTGGCGTAGTGAAGACCAGGACGTGGTCTTCGCCCTAGTTCAACCGCTCCTAGGTCTCCGGAAGGTGGGTTTGACCTGCTCTTTCGGAGGTGGGCGGTTGGCCGATGACGTGTCCCCGCGGAGGGGAGCACGTGGAGAACGTGCGCCGAGCACGTTATTCTCCCGCGGAGGGAGCCCGGGGTGGTCTTGCTCGTCCGGCGCGATGGACGCCAAAAAGGGACGTGGGGCGGTAGCTTGAGCCCGTCTGTCCAGCCCTGCTCGTCCGAAGGGGCGCGTGCCGGGGGTGCCCAGTTCGCTTGCTGGACCGCCTTTGGTATTGGGCCTGCCGAGGTGAGGCCCATACCGGAACAGGAGCCCCCCAAGTCGAAGCTCTGGAGAAGAGCGAGGACTTAAGGTCGTCGTGTCTGGAGCGGGGACTCGCACGAAGGGCTCCGGTCGTCGGTAGAACGGGGAAGAGGCAGGTGAGGGGACGCGACCGTCAGGTTGCCTCCACGTGTCTTGTGTTAAGCGGTCGTAGGGGCGGCTAGCCTATGTCATTAATGAGCCTAGAGTCGCTTCGAGTCCCGCGCCGGGTTATAAATATGGCGGTCCTCGTTCATTCTGTTACTTTTCTCCCTGCTAATCTTTTATCGTCTCTGCTCGTCCGCCGCCTGCCGTCGATCGCCGCCGTGCCGTTTGCTCTTTTCTCTCGTCCGCCGCCGTTACAAGTGAGTTCCTCTTTTCCCTCTCTTTTTATTTCCGTCGTCTAACTGGAACGTGTGGTCGGGGCGGGATGAACGCCCCGAGGAGGGACGCGAGTTCCGCCGCGTCTGGCGAGTCTTCCGATGAATGTCCCGGGGACGGTAGGCTAGTTCCGATGAATGCCCCGGGGACAGGAGCTTTTTTTGATGAATGCCCCGAGGACGGGGTCTTTTCTCCGATGAATGCCCCGAGGACGGGGGCTTTTTCTGATGAATGCTCCGGGGAGAAGTATCTTCTCCGACGGCCGTCCCGAAGGGGCTGAGGGGTCGTTCTTCGATCCCCGAGGAGGGTAGACGGGGAGCGAATGTCTGCTCGTCGCTCCTCGGCCTTTGTCGCCCTTTCACTTGACTTGCGGTGGAAGGGTGGATTTGATCCTGGCTATCGAATTCACCGATGTCCTCTGCTTTCAGGTGTAGATGTCGGCTCTGGTGCCGGGGATAATGGTTGAAGATAATGAACCCGAGGTCCCGGAGTATGACGACGAGCGTATCGCCTCGCCCGAGGAGTGGGCGGCCGAGGAGCCACTTTCCATCCCCTCTTGCTTTGTGGTCGACCCGTCCGACGTGTACGCCACGGTCGAGGATACGCCGATAGGAGAGACGCAACACTGGCAGGTGTACCGCCCAAAAGAGCACCACCGGATCTGTTCGCGATATGGGCGGAAGATGTTCCCGATGTATGAATTTTATTTTAAAGAAGCTCGGCTCCGGTTACCGTTTTCCGCCTTCCATCTGGGGCTTTTTGACTGGCTGCGTCTTGCCCCGTCTCAGCTGCACCCAAATGCTTTGGCCTTCATCCGGGCTTTCGAGGTGGTGTGTTTCTACCTTTCGGTGGAGCCGACGGTGCCGTTATTCTTCCGCATCTTTCATTTGCAGCGGCAGACGGTGCGAGGTCGTCACGGATGGGTGTCTTTCAAACAATCGACCAAAATTTTCAAAGCGTATAGCGATTCTGTCAAAGACTTCAAAGGTCGGTTCTACCTCGTCAAACCGATCACGCAGCATGGCTCGGACACTCTCTTTGACGAGGGAGAGCGCACGGTAGATGGCCAGCGGTTCCGTGCGTGGCTTCCTAAGATACATCTACTGTGGACCTCGGAGCATTTTAGTCGAGGGACGGATAGGTATATCGTCCGGGCGGGAACCCTCGAGGAGAAGGACATGGCCGCTTATTTGAAAATAATTGCCTTTGTGCGGTCGCTTCCCCCGTCGAAGCTGGTGACGCCCGACGGTCGGTACATCCTCGATGCCCAGGGGAACATACGCACCAAAAAGCATTTGATAAATACTAAGACTTTGCTCGGCTGCGCGACCGGGGCGGCCGCTCTGGATTATCTAGGTAGGGATGTTCGTTTTTCCTCGTGGTCGGGGTTTTTGATCGTCGCTAACCTATTTCTTTGTTTTTGCAGTGAACATGTCTACTGTCGACGAGCGGGTGAAGCAGTTGCGTGCTGCCAGGAGTGCCGGGGTCCCGAGGACGAGGGTGAGTCAGCTGGTCGGTCAGGAGGTCGCGACGCACGGGGGGCAAACTTCGTCCTCGTCGCCTCAAGAGAGCCAATCCCCTGTGTCTCAAGGAATGTCGAAGAGGCAAAGGTCCGAGGAGCCTCGGGTGGTGGATCTGACGGTCGGCGCCGTCGAGGAAGGTTATGTTGTCCCTCCCTGCCACCAGCACCCGGGCTATTTTCATGGTGCCCGTTCCCCCACTGTTTCCGCCGGGGAGGTGAAGGCTGTTCGCCAGGCTGATCGGGAGGCCCGTCGACGTGTCCTGGCTGAGGACTTGGCCGCGATGATGCGGACGTTTACGACGGCTCTCGTGCTGAACGAGGAGGGCTGCTCCGCTGCTGAGCTGTCCAAACTGCAAGGGGATCTCACTTTCACGCAGTCGCGGTTGGCCAAGCTCACTGAGGAGTTGGAGAAGAGCCAGAAGGATGCTGCCGAGGAGCGGAAACGGGCAGAGGGTGCTGAGGGGAAGGTGACTTTGCTGGAGGAGAAGCTGGGGACGGCGACGGCCGAGGTGCAGGCGCTGAAGGTTCGTACGGAGGTTTTGGACAGCGCTGTTCGTCCGGCGGAGGACGAGACTGATGGGGATCGGCGTCTGATTACCCGTGCTGACTTGATCGCCCGTATTCGGGCGTTGGAGAGCGATTGTCTGGAAGCCGTTGAGGTCGGGTTCAAGAATGCGGTCGAGCAGATTCAGGTTGCCAACCCTGGTGTTGAGCTGGTCGTGGACGGGATAGGCCCGTACCACGAGATTGTTGATGGGAGGGTGATCGACCCTTATTTTGTTATCCCCGAGGAGGAAACCGTGGCTGTTGACCGAGCGGACGAGGAAGCATAGGTTGCCGGGCCTGCGTGCTCGTTGTTTTTGTGGCCTGCGTGCCGGTGTTTATCTTTTGCTTTGGGCCTGCGTGCTCGTTCTTGTACTATTGACTACTGGGCTGGTGCCCGCTTTTGTTAAATATATTTATCATGGATTTTCTAAGTGTGCGCTCGTTATTTGCATGTTGTTTTATGCTCGTTTTTCGTATTTGTTCGAATGCCTTTGATGTGTATGACATTTTTTGTAGATTTTCTAAGTGTTCGCTCGGTGTGTTTAGCTCGACAATTTGTAACCGGTAGTGTAGGGAACTGGCCGGTTTGGCCGGGGATGTAGCCGGGCCGTTTCGGGGGTAGTTTTCCCCGGGGCGTGGACGGCCCATCGCGAGCTGGGTGTCCTGCCTATTTTGGTACGGCGGCGAGGAGCCTCGGTCGAGGTATTCCCTGCCGAGCAAGGCCTTCTGCC